TTTTTTTTTAAAAAAAAAAAAAAAAAAAAAAAAAAAAAAGCTATAAATAAATAAAGGATATATATTATAATACGCATTTTTTTTTTTTATAAAGTTGAATCAAGTGGAAACTTGTGAATATATACTATTTGATTAAACATATATAAACAGTTCTTTATTATTAAAAAATTGTTAAGAATATATTATTTATTAATATAAAAAATTAATATTCTATATGTATTAATTAATGAAAAATAAAAAATATAATATAGATATAAATCCAAAATAATAGAAAAATTTATTTGTATATTTATTTATATGTTCACACACTTTTATCATATTATTATAATTTTTTTTTCAAAATATTGATTTAATCATTTTTTTTTCATTTGATATACCGCATAATATTATATTTTATACAATTGTTTTTCTAATTAAAAATTCACATAATTTAATAGTATCTTACTATATTTTCTTTATGTTAATATTATATACTAAAGGTATAATGAAAATTTTTAAACTATAAAAAAAAAAAAAAAAAAAAAATATATATATATATATATATATACATATATATATATATATATATATAATATCATTTAAATTAATAGAAAGTATTTAAAAAAAAAAAAAAAAAAAAAGAATGAATTTGTATTAATAATATAAAATGAGAAAAACAGAAAGTGGTAATTTACAAAATATGAATAAAAATATAAATCAAGAACGACTTGCTTATGTTATGACATGTTTGATTGGGAATGAAGTAAATGTACATATGAAAGATGGAAATGAAATAAAAGGTTTATTTCATGCTTATAATTCTACCATAAAAGATGATAAAAAAGAAGTAGATATATCTTTAAATTATGCAAGAATATTACCAAAAAATGATAAAGTTAGTGGACCAATAAATAAAGCAATGATTATACCAGAAAATTTATTTACAATAATTATTGGTAAAAATATTAATCTTGATTTAAAAGATCCAGATGAAATTAAGAACGTAAAAGAAAAATTTAAAATTGATGCAGATATATCTGAAAAGAAAAAATTAAATTCAAATACAGCTAACAGAGAATTAAAAAGATGGATATGTGATAATAATGATTTTGATGATAGTAAATTAAAATTAGATGATGATTTAAATGAACCATGGGATCAATTTGAACATAATAGAAAATTATATGGAGTAACAACAACATATAAAGAAGAAATTTACACTACCAATCTAGATATAAATAAAATTCCTCATCATGTTAAAATTCAAGCAGATAAAATTGCTAAAGAATTAGAATATAGAGGAATGCATTTAGATCCGGAAGATGCAGAAAGAGATAATAAAGAATTAGATGAAGAAGATTTATTTGGTGCCGTTAGACAAAACAAAGAAAAATTTGCAAAAAACCAAAAATTTAAAAAAGACGATAATAAAAATAAATCATATCAAGGAAAATTTCATCATTTGACAATTAAAGATTTAAAGGAAAAAATTCAATTAGTTAAAAAAGAAAATGAAAAAAAATATCCAAGTAAGTTATTTTCTCAAATATTATATATACTTGTAAAATATAATTTATATATATAAATCATAATGTATATTTATACAAAATAACTCAAAAATAATCATTATATATAATACATCGATGACTAATTAGTAAATATAAATATATATATATATATATATATATAACATTTTATGCATTTTTTTTTTTTTTTTTTATTATTTAAAGCAAACAAGCAAAAAAAAATAAATTTTACGATATCTTCTTCGAATGATGAAAATAATTCAACCAATAAGAAAAATAAAGTTTCATCAAAGAATCCAATTAATAAAAACTCAGAGTTTATTGTAAGATTTCTTTATTAAATGTTGCGTTTATGATTATTTATTTATTTTTTTTTTTTTGATTTTATTAAATTTTATTTTTAATTTAATAAATTTTTATATATTATAGAATTCATTCTTTTTTTTTTTTTACATATATATATATATATTTAGGGTATAAATGCTTTAAACTTAGAGCCTGCTTTACCAAAACTTGATGAAAAAACAAGAACTGAATGGATAATGTTCAAAAATCAAACAAAAAATAAAACAAATAAAAAAGACAAAACAACTGAAAAACAAGAATTTATAACAGCTTCAAGAGAATTTAATGAAAAATTAGCCAAGTAATAAAAAAAAGAAATACATATTGAAAAATATTATACTTCTTTATATATCTATTAATAAATATATATATTAATGCTTAGATTAATTTTTGAAATATCATAGAAGAGAAATTTTTATGTACATTTATATGATTGTTTAATGAAGTATATTATTTTATACGAATTATTTATAAATATTGTATTTTTAAAATTCTAACATTTAAATATAGAATAAATTAAAATTATATATATATATATATATATATATATATATTTAATTATATTTATTTTTCTTCGTATTTTATAGTAAAATTAATTTAAATAAAAAGGAAACAAATACAAAATCAAATAAAGAAAATTCAGGATTGAACCATTTATCTATTGATAACCAAAAAAATGTGTCCAATATTACAGGTTATGTAAATATTATTATTATTGCCTAAATTTTCTATTTTAAATTGTTTCTTTTTATAAATATTTTTATTTTTTTTTTTTTTTTATAGAAAGTTCAAAATATAATAACATAAATGAATTAGGTAAAAAGAATTATTATATAAATTAATTATGAATATATTAAATAATATTATTGTTTTTTATGTTATTAATAGATGAAAATAAAATGACAGGAAGTGGTACTATGTTAAATAATAATATGAATTTTAATAATTCCAACTTTAATGCAAATGTTATGTTAAATAATCCCAGTTTACGTCCATATGATCCCTACTTTTTAAATTTTAACAATTTTAATAACATGAAAAATAACATGATTGCTCATAATATTGGTTATAATATAATTTTTTTTTTTTTTAAATATTCTTTAATATATACATATATATTTATATATATATAAAGTTATAAATTTAATTATTTTATTACATGTTATATATATATATTTTTTTTTTTCTTTTATAATAGATTATTATCAAAATTTATCGTTAATGCCTGAATCACAAAATCAAATATATCCATGTGCAGATCCACATTTGTATAAAAATGGTGGAATTCGATCTATATATGTAAACACCTTTTTTTTCTTTTTTTTTTTTTTTTTTAAATATTATTAAGAATTATATTAATAATTTAATTTTTTTTTATTTTTTTTTTTCTTTTTATTAGCCTCATAATCATATGGAAGGATTTAAATCCAATTTTCACATAAATCCTCAACTTCTTCATGTACATAATAATATATTTTATAAATAATTACCATATATATTTAAATTTTATGTTTATTTATTTATTATTTTTTTTTTTTTTTATTGTTAGCAAAATATGAATATAGATGTAATGTTGAACAAATTCCAAAATTCTATGAGTTCAATCAACAAAGATCAAAATCATTCAAAGGTTCATAATGATTTGTGTCCATTCACAGTTGTACGTTTTTAAAATAAATTCATCCATTTTTTTTTTTTTATTTTTTTTATATTTGTATATATTTTAATTTTTGTTTTATACATAAAAATAAATATATTTATATGCATTAATTTTTTTTTTTTTTTTTTTTTCTTTGTAGAAGGTAGTTGAAACTAATAGAAGTTTCAGTGCTTTTATGAATAATATATTAAAATATTCTAAACAAGAAGATTGTATGAGTTGTCCAGTTGAATTTGAAAGTACTCATCAATTTAGTTATAGAAATATATTGGGAGAAATACCAGCATGTACACCTATAAATAATTATCAATCAAATAATTTCCCTAATAATATTCCAGTTCAAAACATATCTAATATGCTTGTAAATTTTCCCTTTATACCTATTATATCTCCATCAATCAATAGTCATTATATAGAGAATCCGATTTATTTTAATCCATGTTTTCGTAGTTATTATCCTAATAATTCACTTCCAGTAAATTCAAATAATCCTTATGTTTTTAATATGCCCTCGTCAAATATTGATGCAAATTATTCATCAAATAAAAATATTAATATATATCCATTAAGAACCCCACATTTACAAAACTCACATATGAACTTACCTGTATCCTCGTGTTTTTCACCAAATATTAATTATGGAATAAATAATAATTCTTTGAATATGATGGGTAACCCTAATTTGCCAAATTCAAATATTAATATTCCTGCATATCCACCTGAATTTGTTCTTATGAATGCACAAAAATATTCTAATTCTCAATCAGCACATGTCCCATTTTTTCCGCAATATCAATATCAAAATTATTATGCATCTTCTCATGGAATGAATCATACATAAAACACATAAACGGAATATGTATTTATGATTTTAAAAAAAAATTAAAAATTTATTAGAAACATTATCAAATTACATAAAATTCAAAAAAAAAAAAAAAAAAAAAAAAAAAAAAAAAAAAAAAAAAAAATAAAAAAAAATTTGTAAAAAATTTTCAAGAAATTAAAAAAAAAAAAATTTAAGAAAAATTTTAATTATTTTTCATATTATAATAAAAAAAAATATATATATATAGAGAGAAAGAGAGGGTATTTATTAATTTTATATGCATATATAAAAAAAAAAAAATAACTTCATTTAATTTGTATTTCATAATTTTGTTGCAAATGTTTAGTATTAATGCCTAAAATAAAAATTTTATAGGCATTCAATGCTTACTAATATCATAATAAAAAAAAAGTTTTGTTTATAATAATAATTTTTTTTTTTTTTTTTTTTTTTTTTATAATAAAATTAACACTAAAGTAATTTTAAGATTTATTTTTATTTTTAATCTAATATAGATGTAAATTAATGCAATATATAAACATATATACATGTATATATTTTATATTTATTTTTCTTTGTCAATTTTATTCCCTTTTCATTTACATGAGTTTTGTTCATATATATCATAATTTACATATAATATTAAAAAAAAAAAAAAAAAAATTCTAGCTTTGAAAGCATATAAACATAGTATTTTAAAGCAACATTTAAAAATAATAAAATTAATAAATGAAATTTTGAATAATTATTACCATACAAAATAAAAAATAAATATGATCTTAAATGTGTCTAAGTTTTTGCAATTTAAAACAATTAGGAAAAAAAATGCTTCAATGGAATATATTTTAACTGAAATGTAATACATACATATGCATTCTTAATTAGATATAATATTCTTTCCATTTTTGCATTTTTAAAAATGCAAGTGTGTTATTATAATTAATTTTTAATATTATCAATATTTGGTATATAAGCAATGTTCTACATTTTATCTTTTTTCTTGTTCATTTAACTATTTAAAAATAATTTTTTGAAATTTTACCGGTTTTCCATTTTTTATAACTTAAAATAACCTTCTTGTATAATTCATTTTTTCATATTTATGTTGTTCACATAGAGAAAAATATCTATTAAATTTATTAATCTTTTTTTTTTTTTTTTTTTTTTTTTTTTTTTTTAACT